AATGACAAGATATCACGCACCACGGACCAGGGATATATAGAGCACTGGGAAGGAGAATATCTGAGACAGAGGTACCCGTAATTTCCCTGTCTAACCGGAAATCGACTGTGCGTCAGGGAATTTCACCACGCCATAACCAGCGACCCGAGGGGTCCCGACGACCCGACTACTTACAACACGCAATATTTCATATCCCCCGGCTTCGTCGTTATCGCCACCAACTTCCCTCCCTTTCATCTTTTCCTCTCCTATCATCAACTCACAGTGGTTCCATGGAATTCCATAGCCCCATATTGGCCCTACACGCTGTGCCGGAATTGCAGACCACGCGGCAACCGCCGAGCCTCAGAAATCACGGAGTCACACTGTAACATGCGACGTCGATCGACACGTGTCCACACCCGAAGGACGGGCTCATAGAAATCGCCATCCTCACAGACGGACCTCTTTTCGAACCGCCGTTATTAAAACAGGCGGACCAGACGACGCAAGACGCACAGCGTATGCCATCTGCCTTATTAACATCGGTCGCCATCAGACCAGAAGTACCCCGTCCCTTAGCCTTATGGCACTAATGCCCCTCAACCCCTGTCACAGGAGATCTCAGTTCTGACCTAGGACTCCACCCCCACTTTCCCAAAAATCCTTGGCACATCCCTTTTCGCACTTCCAGGCCCACATCCCACTTCGATCAGGAAGTCACATCGGGCGTGAGGTTGGTATCGGAGCCCGACACGTGGCTGGGTTCGTCGTTACCAGAAGCCGGTCTGCGGCTCGACGGGCGGTCAACATGAACGCCAATCAACAGAACCCGAATCCTTAACAAAACCCCAACCAACCGATATATCCTAATCAACCCGCACCACGAGCACGGGCTCCCATGACGCCACGCGATCTCTATCTATTCCCTGCACACCATCTCATTGGAGCATGGTTGGCCACGGTCCGAGCTCAGCAGTACGATGATAACGAGGCATAGGTGAACATTCCCGCTCGATTGAGAGGAGACGCTCACCATTGGTTCAGCACCTATGTATGGGTAGATCTCCCGACGTTCGAGCGAGATTTCCTGAACCGATTTGATTATATCCACCCTGAACATGCCATTTTTATGATTAAAGATCGAGTTCAAAAACCCCTCGAATGTGTCACCGAGTATCGAAACCGATTCTACAGGATGTTTGTAAAGGCCGAGCGAGGTGAACAAGTAGGAAGAGATCTGTTTATCGATGGACTTCGCAGTCGAACGATGAGGGCGAAACTGCAAAGACAGTTCTCCCCCATCAATCACACGCTGCAACAGATCATGGCAGCTGCAGAGGAAATGGAACGGAAGTTCGCCGCAAGTTTCCTAGAAGGGGAAGACTATCCTAGGGAAGTTGACTCGTACGAACTAGCGAGAGCTAAGGCTGAGCTGACCGCATTACAAAATAAATTCGAAAACATGGGGTTTGTGTCTGGCCCGATTACCTATCTAGAACAGATTAACCCCAAACGACCCACCCCGAGTGTGGTTACAAGCATGCCCGTTCCCGTAATGACAACACCCCCGCCACCAATCGAAAGTCCTACGCGACCGAATGAGTCTTCCGCCTTATTGGAATTAACCAAAACGCTGGGCAATCTGATTCAGGAAAGCAAAAAAGAACAGCGGGAACACAATGCTCGAATAGAGGCGATGATGAGGTTGATGTGACCAATAGCGGTGCATGCCGCCCTGATTCAACACGGGCTGGCTCCGGCACCCCCTCCCGCAGGGATCCCTGATAATCTAAACGTTTGTTACACATGTCATCAACTAGGGCACATAGCTCGAGATTGCCCTCATCGGCCTCCGCAGCCATGAGTCAGGGCCGCACCGGTAGCAGCAGCCTCGATCGCTAACGGCCCTGGACGGGTAAGGGCACTGATGGAAGAAATGGAAGGAGGTGGAAGCACATTAGCTACGATGGAGGAAGCAGCTGAACTCATCCCGTTGGATCAGTACGTAACACTCGGATATCCGGGACTTGGGATGATTGAAACGATTAGACCCACGCCGGGACAAAGGGAAGTGACGGAATGACGACCCTCTCCCGGAGAGATGGAGTTGGGAGGACCCACTTTCGTCACTGGGGAGATCAATGTTTTGAACATTATTCGAGCCTTAGATCATCGGATTCCTCTTTCGATCGGTCATCTACTTTCGATATCGGAACAGGCCAACGAACGGATGTTGCAACATTGCAAGGCAAATTGGAAATGATTCGCCCTTGCCCGAACAACAAGCACAAAGGCAAAAAATCCCACGCCAGATGGAAATGCAGCGGGTACTTCGGACCCGATACGGTTAAGATAGATCCAAAAAAATGATCATTTCCTACGGATTAAACCAATATCATGGAAATCCGCAGAGTGCGACATTGAGGTATGAAGAACCCCGTACAATGCTATTATTGACTTTGGGGCCGCTGTTTTGGCTATCTCCTTATGGGTAGTTGAAAGGGCAGGAAGAAGGAGCTATCTGATTATGCTTGCGGAGAAAGATTAGTCTTAAACGTAAATACTTACAACGTTCTTTCTGGCCTTCCCACTCTTGTGGCCTTGCGAGCCAATCTGGACTTTGAGAGGCGATCGATTGTCCTCTGGAATACAGGAGGAAAGTCCTATATGTTGTACCTATGAGGCTGACCGTTCGAACCACGGCTAATGTAACCCCGCGAGTTTCTCCAATAATGGCGGGAACTCTCCGCGTAATTACCTGGGATAACTCTGCCGATGGTGAACAATCTCTGAAGGACGTGGACAGCAGTGACGAGGACGATCCAATAATTCTGGAGATGGCGCAGCAGCGTATCTGTTACCCTATGCAAAGAGCAAATACGAAATCACTAAGCCCGACTGATCAGAGCCTACAAAGAACGCAAACCATGATTATGGGTGAACCCCTCGTGCAGATTTCGAGGATGGTCGATTCTTTGGAACCCCCTCGAACCCTGTACGAAGGTATTTCCCCTTTACTCGCACGATATAATGACAAAAGGCACTATTGCGACATCACAAATCTCCCACGACCCCTTTTGTCACCTGCAAAAGAGATACGATTGATACGCTTAGGGACAAAGACCAATTCTTTGGAACCCCCTGAGCGCCTTGAAACTGGGCTTGGAATCAAAATTGCAACGAAACCCGTGTCATGGCAGGACATCCGAGACGGAATAACGCTGGAAGAACACGTGGCCATTCGGGAACAGGACGCACAGATGATGGCCACAGTATTCTCCTGGTGATCTGATAATTCATTTATTTTCGCGCCCCTACATGAAAGCGCTAAGCGGGTAAGTACGAAACAGATCGATATACGGATATGGGATCAACTGTATGAATTGCATGTGCCCCAATGCGTCCCTGATGAAATCCATCAGCTGATCGCGGGCATTTTGAAGGAATATAAAGGAGCGATTAGTGTGACGGACACAGACATCGGACTGTCGTTAGTCATACAACATGAAATTTAGACCGGAAACCATCCGCCAATCCACTGTAAGCCCTAGAGGTATTCCCTGGTAGAACGAAAGACGGCTCTTGAGCGGATCCGGGAGTTCGAAGCCAATGGGTGGATCGAACCTGCCACTGGGCCATTATCATTCCCGGTAGTATTAATACCGAAAAAGAATGGATCAATTCACATATGCATTGATTATCGCAAGCTGAATGACATCACGATTAAGGATGTGTATCCCCTTCCCAGGATTGATGATCTGCTTGATGCGATTGGGTGTGCTAATTACTTCAGTAAATTTGATATTCGCCACGGTTTCCACCATATCCTGGTTAAGGAGGAAGATCGACCGAAAACGACTTTTGTAGTATTTGAAGGCACGTGGGAGTGGGTTCGGTGTCCGATGGGGATCTGCAACGCGCCTGCCACGTTTCAACGGGCTATGAACGTGACATTCAGAACTTCGTCAACAAGACGCGGATAACTCAAGAGATGATTAACTTCTGCGTCATTGTGTACATGGACGACATCCTGGTCTACTCGGAAACCTATCACTGGTATACGCAACACATCGAGTGGACGTTGGTAGCTCTGAGAGATGCTGGGTTCAAAATCGCGCTCGAGAAAAGCGAGTTTTTCCTTTCGGAAATCTCGTTCTTGGGTTACGTGGTGACACGTGGAGGACTACGGTCAGATTCGAGAAAGGTTGTGGCGGTGAAAGATGCTCCTATTCCCACGTCATTGACACAAGTTCGAGCTTTCCTGGGACTAGCATCGTACTACCGCCGCTTCATCAAGGGCTTCGCCGCGATAGCACGACCTCTGACGAACCTGCTACGAAAAGACCAGCCCTCAGTTGGAACGTAGAGTGCGAACAGGCATTCGCCACCCTTAAGGACGCCCTGGCGACGACACCTATTTTGATCCGGCCGGACCCTACGAAGCAGTTCATTCTTATCACGGACTGGTAGCCAGAGGCGATCTCCGCTATTCTAGCGCAGAAGGGGAACGACAGCCGATAACATGTCATCGAATACGCATCACGCACGGTGCCAGACGAGCGGAGGAACGACTCGGCCCGCAGGGTGAATGTTACGCAGTGGTCTGGGGGATTCAACACTTCCATCCGTACTTGTACGGACAAAAGTTTCTCCTTGTAACCGATCACGAGCCATTACTGGCTCTCAAGAAGCTCACCAATTACACAGGTATGATTAGATGGTGGGCGGTGCGCCTACAGGAATACGACTTCGACATCCTCCATCGGAAGACAGAGAGGCACGACAACGCGGACGGCTTGACGCGTCTGCGTCGCCCCGCTAAGGTACCTAAAGGCGGAGAAATCATTTCGTGGAAGGAACCGGAGTCAGCGAACGGACCCAAGTACGGACAAGTGGTTGTACTTCCACGTGGCAAGAAGCAGGCGATTGGCAATGGGTGACGGAGGTAATCTTGCGACCCCTCTCTCTCCCCTTTCATCCTTATGTCTTCTTTCCCTACCCGACAAATTTTGTTATTTTTGCGAAGCAATCTCGCGCGTCTACTCGATCCCTATGCGTCCTAGTGGGGAGGGATATGCAAAATGGATAGATTGTCGACAGTGTGTCGCACGAGCCCACGACTCGTGTATCCAATGCAGAAATGACAATAAGCCTTGGTTGTGCCCCTTGTGTCGGGCTGATAAGATCCCGACCGAGGCTTGATTTCTTGACGCCACGTTGGAAGGGTTGGAAAAAACCCAGAAGTTTAAAAGGGCCGAGGTATGGACGGATATCGCTCTAATAGCTACCTTGGTAGGTAACCCCCTCTAGGACTTCACTAAAGAAGACCAGAGGAGGGCCAATGAAAGGGCTCGGGACTATCGTTGGAACGAGGGCCGGTTAGAAAAATGGAAGACGGATGGTAGTGGGATTTGGATGGTAGTACCGCACCCGTTCATGAGGTATGATTGGGTTAAGACGGCGCACAAGGAGACTGCAACCCATTTTGCTGCCCGAATCACGGAAGCGGCAATCGACAAGAATGAGTGGTATTGGTCCAATATTCTCGATGATGTGAAATTAATCGTCGCAAATTGCCAGGTCTGCGCTGCTGACAAGGCGCCGATTCAACCGCCAAGATCGATAGTACCGACGGTAGTCGAACGGCCTTTTTAGAGGGTTAGCATGGTTACTACCGATATTGTGGTGCCCTCTCGACCTAATAGCTGCGAATACTCAATCCTACTGGCATTTGTAGACCACTTCTCGAAATGGATCGAGGCATATCCGTGTCGTACGTGACATGCGGTTAAAATCGCGCGATACGTCAACCGGTTTTTAGGGATGCATCAGGACACAGAGGAAATCCTGACCGATAATGGGGTAGAATTTAGAGGGGAGGTTCTAAGGAATCTGGTCGTACATGGCGTCGCCACTCGGAACACTGCGCCCCACATGTCACAATCTAACGGGCTGGTAGAAAACGCAAATCGCGTGATAAAGACAGCATTGCGACGAAACATCGCGGCACGGGACCCGAGGCCCTGGCCCGATATCGTAGATCACATCCTGGCGGTCCATCGGGGAACGCCTCACGAATCGACGGGCCTTAGCCCCTTCCAATTACGAACCAATAACGTAGCTTGTGTCTCGATACCAAGCCTCCCCGATGAATCTTCATTAAACCGGCGACCCACAAGGGCCACGGTCCGGGACAAGGCCAAGCGACACATGAAGCTGATGGAGCCGTCCCTTCCCCGATTAGCCCGAAAGTGCCAGAAAATGACTGAGTTGGCCCACGACCGACAAGTCCGTAGCTACGAGGCCCGAAATGGGAATGCAGGACCACGACCCTAGTATAAATTAGGGGACCTGGTGCAAGTGAGGAAATGTGCTCGCCAAGGGAAGATAGCGCCACGATTCTTCGGGCAATTTCGTGTGATCGAGCTCGGCCCGAACGGGGTGAACACCGTGCGCCTCGTGCCAGAGGTCTCGGGAAGCCGATCGGCTCGTCCGATCATCTGCCACCTGTCCTATCTGCGTCTCCTCCCTTCCTTCCCATCCCCAGCTGGGTCTGCTTCCTCCTTCACTACAGAAGAGGACGACGACTCTTTATCGCTCTCATCCCCTCTTGCTTCTCTTACTCCGTCCCCGTCGTTATCGCCATGAGTTTTCTCACCGAGTGAGCTCTCGACGATCACATGTTGGCGCCACGTGGCGACATCTCGACAATCTGGCAAGTCCATCATCCGCGATTCAATCTGGATCTTCTACGCTTCGCGCAATTCTTCAGCACAACGGGGGTGTATGCAGTGACGAAATTTCGTTTTGTAGTCAATCGTCAGACACTCGTTCTTGCCGAAGCTTCGGCTTATCGTCGACTGTCCGCACCTGGAGTCAGCCACGTGTCGACCGTCGTCATTTTCAACGGGGACATCAGCGCGATAGATCCTCTACGGCATACGACCATTCGGGCGGAGCTGCGGAAGTGGGGTCAGCAGTTGGCAGCAGAGTGGAATCAGTGGCTTGCGCGGCACGGTGACAATCTCGTCGTCACCGACAACATCGACGTCGGAGGACTCCGTACGTCCCGGCACGAGCCACCGATGGCGTTTCCCGAACTCATCCCCTTTCAACGCCCTCAATGAACCGATCCCAACTATCTACCTTTGCTCTCCCCTCTCTCTTCCCTACCTTCTGGCAATCTAGCCTTTGCCCCCCTTTCTCCTTTCGTCTGGAACCACTCGTTGTCCCCCTCCTCGATCGAAGACAGTGGGAACAGTGGTGCGAGCACTTCATCGATCTCTCGGTGTGTCTGGTCGGGGTGCAGCTGACGTGGACGCGGGACGACGAGCATCGCGCCTGGATTGAATACGTGGAGCTGCTGATCGTCCAAGCCTGGAGGACGGAGGTGGAGGGGGACCTCCTCGGATTTCTGTCCGGATCGGTGCGGCCCGGCCATCGGCAGCTGATTGTGCGGGAACTCACAATCCCCCTCGCGCAGCTGGTCGATGATCTTTCCCCCGACATCATCTCGCAGTGTGACAAAAGTCCGGTCCCGCACGTCCTTTCGCGAACACTGACGCCCTATCTACAGTGGTCGGCTTGTCTGGAAGAGCAGGGAGGGAACAACAACCCGCCCTCGCAAGCCGAATACCTGAACCCACGAAGGATAATCGACATTTCCTACTCCCAGCCTCACACGACCTCCGAAGACGAGGTACTAGCAGAGGAGGAGGAAGAAGAGGAGGAGGAAGAACAAGAGAACGAAGAGGAGGACGACGAGGAAGAAGAAGAAGAAACTCCAGAAGAAGGGAGTTACAGTGAGCATAGCGAGGGGGAGCAGAGCGAAGAAGAAGAGGAAGAAGAGGACGAGGAGCAAGAAGAGTCTGAGTGGGAAAATTTGGGCGAGGAAGCAAGCCGCACAGAAGCCCAGGAGGAAGATCCAAAGGCGACGACACGACGCAGAGAAGAGATCACGGTTGGTAAGCAACCGCTAGAGTACGCAAGTGGAACGAATCTGTCGATCTCAGACGATCCGACGAAGGATCCGGAGCCGCCCAAGCCAGAGGATGGGGACCTAGTTGCCGAGACTTCGAGCACACCGGCCAGGCAGCGGCGAGATCGATCCCCCTCCCCCTCCACCTCCACCCCTCTGACAGTTCGAGCTCGTACCGATGCGGGCCATCGGGCTTCGTCCCCAGTCCTTATCCCGTCGTCCCCTTGACTACCTTACCTTCCGACAGATCACCACCCGCATCACTTTCCCCCGCAATCCCTTTTCGATTGACACCTTGCGCTTTTTCTATGCCACCCGTCGTGTTGTTATGGTTCATCCCCATCCCTCTACCCGATGTGCCACCCCCGTCTTCTGTCTCCACGCCCTTCTTTTCAGTGCTGCATGGCGAGGTCACAACATCATCGAGGTCTACTGCATGATCACGGGGACTATTCCCGCATGCGAAAACCACGATCGCTTCTGCGCGGCACTTTCCGAACCTTCACCACCCTTTACCCCGACTATCTCGCATCCCTTCCTCATAGTGGTACCCGGTTCCCTCGCTTTCATCGGATCATCCGATATCAGGAGCTTCCGGTGACAGTGGCGGGAATGGAAAGTTTCCTACCCCCGCTCCCGACTAACCCACCCCCTCGCCATGCTCCCATGTATAATGACCATTTCGTCAAAATGGACTTTTTTTTTTTTTGAACGAAATTGAAACTGAGTTTTTTGGCCGAAAACTCGTCAAAATTTGTTGTTCCTGAGGGTCCAAACGCTGGACCCCCTGGTTGTACATGGACCTAGCTTGAGACCAGGCACCCCCAGGCAAGACTGTCTGGAGGTACCTGGTCTCAAGCTAGGTCCATGTACAGCCAGGGGGTCCAGTGTTTTACAAACGCTGGACCCTCAGGAACAACAAATTTTGACAAGTTTTGGGCCAAAAAACTCGGTTTCAATTTCGTTCAAAAAATAAAAGATGTCCATTTTGACGAAATGGCAGTTGTATCATCTCCCCTTTCCCCTCCCCGGCGGCCATTGATGCACGGTTGATTGGCGCGTGCCATGGCGATGGCATGAATAATCCCCTCATTGGATTGAAGAGAGCCCTTCCTGAGGAAATTGTAGGAGAGAGCCACGTTTGCCACACTGAATGACTTCCACACTCTTTCGCACGGTTGGTGGCAACGTAGAAAGCTTCGCGTGTTGATCGATTAGAGAAATCGACACGTGTCGTAATGACAAGCAAGCAGGAGCTTGCTTAAGATTGGAACCCCCTGGGCGTCACATATGTGACGAACCACTTTCTGTGCCTCGCGATTTTCTACGCGACGACAATGAGGGGTCCTAAGATGCCAGTGGGAAGGATGGGCCAATTACGGGAAGATCGGGATCGCAGGGAAAATTGCATCGGTGTCCTCGCTTCTTCATCTTTTTATGTCGATTTTTTTCGGATGGTTGGGTTCAAGGTTGGGCAAGTCCTGGAATGATCGGTTGAGTGGCGCGCCACTGTGCTCGCGATTAATAATGGTTGACGTCGTCTCTTTTCGTTTTTGCTGTCGGGTTTAAGGCACGGAGATCGCACGGGAATTTTGGTTCGTTCCTTTTGAATTTTCTTTTTTGAATCTTGTCGAGCCTCGACAGCTCCTGGAATTTCGGACTTTCTTTTCGGAATTTGTGCTTTTCACATTTTTGCATTAGATAGGAATTTTGGAATTTTGGAATTTAGGATTTTCTTTGCCGCGCAACGCCTTCTGCTTGCGCGCTTCTTTTTGCGGCTGCAACGGAGCTCTGATTAGTCGGCGCCCTTAATCTTGCAAGTAATTGTAATTTTTGGGTGGGCGTCATTGTAACTGTATCTTCTTTCTTGAGCTTTGTCTTTCCCGCTCTTTCTTTCCCTCTTGCTGTGTCTAGTCAGCCCGCGGTCTGCATGCTTGGAGAGTGGCTACTTCCCCCACACCGCGATCTAGCCATGCAGAACGTAGGCGCTCCCTCCTCTGATCTTCTTTCTAAGTCCTTGCAATTCCGTGTTCTTCGCGTATGCATGCACACTATAAATTCCGGTTGCGCGATTAGATAGCTATCTTAACCAAGCTCGGGGAGCGCGATCAGTAAGGGGCGGCTCACGAGCGAAGTAAGAGGTGAGTTGAAGTGGGAGTCGGGCGACCCTACGAGCTAGTGCCGAATGCGCGGGGTTGACGCGTGGGGCTACGACGGACTGTAGCGTGCGGGCGAAACTGACGGGTGCAGAAGGACTAAGCGGGGTGACGACTTCGTGGGTTGGTGCGCGACGACGGATTGTCCGCATCGGAGAGAGAGAGAGAGAGAGAGAGAGAGAGAGAGAGAGAGAGAGAGAGAGAGAGAGAGAGAGAGAGAGAGAGAGAGAG